GTTTCCTGGAGCCCCTTTAGGCACTGGAGGTTGTTATCCTGCTTTTCTTTGTCTTTTTTCCTTTAAATGGTCCTGGTAACCCTCTGGAGCTGGAGGCATCTCCAGGAGCACAGGGACAGTGCCTTTGTCCCCAGGGGAACAAACAGAGGGGGACAGAGGCTGTAGGTGGCCCCAGGCAATTGCATTTGCTCCCAGGGTGGATGAGGGTTGGAGGGTGGTTAAAACAGGGGTTGGTGGATCAGGATGATGAGGAAAATGACCTCCCAAGTGGCCAGAAGCCCTAAATTCTGGCAGACAATGTTCTTATTGCCTCTGCCAGACTTAGCAAAGCCCCGAGCTTTGAAACAACTATCCCACTGGTGTGCCAGGAGCATGGTTGGCCTGGCTGGGAGCTCCTTGGGCAGCTGGGCATGCTTGGGACTGATTCTGCTCCTCGTGGCACAGAGCACAAGCAGAAATACAAGGAACACGTTATCCAGGGGTTCCTCCAGTACAAAGAAGTGAACTCGTGTCCTGGAGAGAACCTGTCCCTCAGGAGCCACTACACCACCCTGACCATCGCCAGGAAGCCTCGGAGCAAGCACGGAGCTTTGGACGTCACCCATGGATGCACTAACACCAGCAATGGACCAGCCACCATCACCACACAGACACTGTTTAACCCCAGTGAAGATGGGCACACGCCACAGGTTGTGGTGCTGGTGGGAGCCCCAGGGATGGGGAAGACGATGATGGTGAGGAAGGTGATGGTGGAGTGGGTGGAAGGGACCATCTACACACAGTTTGACTACATCTTCTGCATAGACTGCAGAGACATCGCCCTTCCCAAGGAGGCGAGCTTGGCAGACCTGGTTTCCAAGTGCTGCCCTCACAGGAGAGTGCCGGTTGGGAAGATCCTGGAGGACCAGAAGAAGATCCTGTTCATTCTTGATGGCTTCGAGGCCCTGGGATTTGCCTTGGTGCAGCCTGAAGATGAGCTGAGCTCTGACCCCAGGACAGTGAAGCCGCTGGAAACCACCCTGATGAGCTTGTTGAAGAAGACTCTTCTCCCTGAGTCCTCCTTGCTCATCACCACGAGGCCGACGGCTCTTCAGAGCCTGGGGCAGTGCCTGGAGGGGGAGGATTACATGGAAATAGTGGGATTTTCCGGAGCCACGAGGGAGGAATATTTCCACAGGTACTTTGGGAACAACCACAAAGCACACGCGGCCTTTGGATTTGCGAGAGCCAACGAGATCCTCTACAGCTTGTGTGTCATCCCCGTCATGAGCTGGACCATCTGCACCATCCTGAAACAAGAGCTTCACAAGGAGAGAAACCTCATGGAGTGCTCTAAAGCCACCACGTGGATGGGTGTGTTTTACCTCTCCTGGTTAGTGAAGCGCAGAGGCAGGGACAACCCACAGGACCTCCAGCAGTTCCTACTCAAGCTTTGCTCCTTGGCTGCTGATGGCATCTGGAAGCACAAGGTCCTCTTTGAGGAGAAGGAAATCAAGGACCGTGGCTTGGATCAGCCAGACCTTCTGCCCCTCTTCCTCAATGAGAAGATCCCAAAGAAAGGTGTGGACCATGGGAACATCTACAGCTTCACCCACCTGCACCTCCAGGAGTTCTTTGCAGCGATGTTTTACGTTCTGGAGGATGATGGGGAGATGGTTGGTGACTCGGGGGCTATCACAAGGGACATAAATGTGTTATTAGAAAGCTACAGCGAGTCCAGGGAGGACTTGAACGTAACAGTGAGGTTCCTGTTTGGTTTGGTGAGCCAGGAATCCATCGAGTACATGGACAACATCATCGGGTGCAGAACTTCAGCACGAGTCAAGGAAGACCTGCTGAGGTGGCTTGAGGAGAGGCACAAAGGCACCTCCCCGCCCGGCCAAGGGATGAAGCTTTCCCAGCTGGACACGTTCCACTTTTTGTTTGAGATGAATGAGAAAAGCTTCACGCAAAGAGCGTTGGGTGGTGTCACCGACATGGACCTGCAGGACTTGAAGCTGAGCCTGTACGACCAGATGGCTCTTTCCTTCTGCATCAGGCAGTGGCCTGGGCTGGGCTCTGTCACCCTCCGGGGATGCTCCTTCCACCAGCAGGACCCTGGGGAGGAGGTGGCGGCGGCGGGGCCTCGGTAAGTACAGCTGTAGAGACCCAAAGTCACAGAGATTCCTCCTTTTCCACCCCAAAGGATGGTTTTCAAGGCATTTGAGCTCCTTCCACCCAAACACCACCTTGTCCTTTCCCTGCGGTTTAGTTCCTCCCACCAAAGTTTCTGCCGTTATAGAGTCATAGAGTTGTTTGGGTTGAAGGGACCCTCAGAGCTCATCTAGTCCAACCCCCTGCAGTGAGCAGGGACATCTTCCACTAGATCAGGTTGTCCAGAACCTCATCCAGCCTGGCCTGGAATGTCTCCAGGGATGGCGCATCCACCACCTCCCTTTCCCAGGGGTTTAGATCCTCAGCAGAGGATTTTACTTACTCCTGGGGAGAACCATGGGAGAACAAGGATCCCACCGGCTCCTCCACTGTGGTGGGATCGATGGAGATGGAGCACCTTGGCTCAGCCTCCCCAGCCTGAACAAACCCGTCTGTGCCCAGGGGCCGGTCTGACCTCACGTCCCCCTTCTTGCACGCGAAGGGTGGATCCCTGGGCGCTGGGCGCTGGTTGTGGCCCTTTGTGCCTCCGGACCCACGAGGTCCCTCC